TCAATTCGAGAGGGACATTCGACATCGACAAGACATGGAATAGGTAATAAATCGAGCGGATTATCCCCCTGTCCAGAACTATCAACTGATGGTGTAAAATAGGGGCTAGCTTCAAATTTCACATCCCTTGAAACCACAATTTTATTAGTCTTTGGATTGTAACACTGATATCATTTTTGAGTGGATGAGTAACCCAAAAAAACACACTTAACAGCCCTAGGGTCAAGTTTGTCATGATGTGAAGATTGAATGTGAACAAAACATGTGCACCCAAAGACCTTTAAATGTGATAAATTTAGTTTTTTGCCTTTCAAAACTTCATAGGGTGATTTGAAATCTAACACTCTGCTAGGTAATCGATTAATGAGATACGTAGCAGTGAGCACTCATTGAGACCAAAATTTCTTGAGAACATGCATGTGAAACATAAGGGCTCTTGTTTTCTCGAGTAAATCTCAATTTTTTCTTTTTCTCTCGGCTACCCTATTTTGTTAGGGTGTACCAACATAACTTGTTTGATGTAAAATCCCATGTGTGCTCAAGTATTGTGAAATATATTCAGTGCCATTGTCTGATCATAGGACATGAATATGAGAAGAAAATTGAGTAATGACAAATTTATGAAAGTCTTTAAATACATCCACAACTTCACTTTTAAATTTCAAAAGATACAACCAAGTTATCCTTGTGAAATCATCCACAAAGGTTATAAAATATTGATATCCATCAAAGGACTTGAGAGTTGGACCCTAAATATCGGAATGAATGATTTCAAAAGGATTACTAGCCCTAGACATAGAGGAAGTGAATGGTAATCTAGCAAACTTAGATAAGTGACAAACATCACATTGATTCTTGATTTTGCGTAGATTTGGAAACAAAGAAGACAAAACTTGAAAAACCTTCGAAACATGGGTGTCTTTGGATAGATAATAGAGTCCATTTAAGTAAAAACCTTCACCAATTGTCTTATTGGTGACTAGATCCTGAAAGATGACAGTATGAGGAGAAAAAATGGCAAGGCACTTTAGTGAATTTGTGATTCTTCCAACATATAATAGTTGAAAAGGAAACGAAGGGACGTAGAAGGCAACAAACTTTATTTTTTTAGAGAGCAAATTTATTTTCCCTTTCCCTAAAACTAAAACACCCATTCCATTGGTAACTGACACTTGAGAAGGGGTGGACATTTTTTCAAAATCATGCAAATTTGTGAATCTATTTGTCAGATGACCAGTGGCTCCAGAATCTATAATCCAATAATTATGCACATTACCAATATTGAGAGTAGTTGAGAAGGAATTCAAAAAACCTGGAATGTCTTGGTGTGCTATGCCCTCACTTTCAGCAAGAAACCCTACAAACTGACCAAGTAATATAGTTTGGTTGCTACTCCCATGGCTGATATTTCCTTCACAGTCACCACCCATCTATTTTTTGTGAAGAAATGCTGCAAATTCATTGATTAAGGCTGTTGGATTAGCAATGAAGTTTGACACTGTAGATGAAGAAGCAACATGATTCGCCTTGTGTGGATAGTTATGAAGGGTTTTTGGAAAACTCTTGTGATCTTTAGAGAATTTTGGCTTCAATTCTAGGTGAAGGATCCAACACCTATCCCTCGAATGCCCAACACCCTTGCAATAGGTACATTTCAGATCCGATCTTTTCTATTTGTAGACTCTTTCTTCAACAACCTTGTGATTAGAAGCATAAGCCCTAGCTTCGGGCATGTTTGTCTTAACCTCCATATTCATCACCCTTTTGCAAACTTCTTCTCGTTGGATAGTGGCACAAATGCTCTAGAAAGACGGGAGATCAAAGTTCATGAGAATGTGACTTCAAAGATCTTCAAAATCAGGACTCAAACTTGCCAATAGTTGAAAATTTTTGTCCTCCTCAACCCTTTTTAACAACACTCTGGCATATGTGGTATGAGGTCAATAAACATTTAACTCATTCCACATAGTTGTTAGAGTGCCAAGATGTTGCACAAAAGGTTTTTCCTTCTTGTTGTATACCAGCAATACCTCTTTTGAGTTGAAAAACTCAAGCTAGTTATTCTGGTTTCCATACATCTCTTTGATATTCTTCCAAAGATGCATAGATGATTCAGCATAGCTAAAAATCTTAGCAATCTTCCGCTCTATGGAATTAAGTAGCCATAACATGACCAATTAGTCCTTTCACAGTCAAGTCTCATAGGTTGGTGAGGTGAGCTCTGGCATTTGTATGACTCCATTGACATAGCCGAGTTTAGATCTTCCTCCAAGAGCAAGAGTCACAACTCTTTCCCAAATGAGGTAATTAAACTCATTTAGTAGGACAGAACTAAGACGTTGGTTAGGGTTAACATCAATGTCAGAAAAAGTTGGAGTAGCGGCAAATGAGCTTTCTCCCTCCAGATTAACAGAACTTTCTTCAGCCATTGTTGTGGATTGAAAGAAACTCAAAACGCACAAAAATATGCAGAGACAGGCCTATTAGGGTCACTGCTCTGATACCATGTGGAATTTGATAAGCTTTAATGTGTTTTTTTATTAATTATATGAAAGAAAGACAAGTGACAACATATATATGCAAAGGAGAGAAGGAACATACTCATTCAATCATGCCCAAGCTACTGACTTCTTCCTTTAAATTAAGGGATTGATTACATAATTTTACAAAGATATGGACGCCACTCTACTAACCTATCTTCTACGATGGGACGCTGCACCTTGTTGCAGGAAATAAGGAAACCAACTTGTTGCACTTTGTCGCTAGAAACAAGGAAACCATTTGTCCAGATGATAAAAGACCCCAACTAGATGCAAACTATTATTTACTTCCAATAGGATTCTTTCATTCTCTTCAATTTATGGGCTTCTATTATGATGGAAATGAACATTATGTTGAGTGTAAACTTGAATCTGAGTGTTTTTAGCTCTGCCATCCTCTGCACATACATGCTTAACCCCAACATTAAACTCTAGCAAGACTTTTGTCGAGTTCGTGAGTGGTGGCACTCGGGCTCGCGTAGAATCGATCCTAGGTAACTAAATATCTTTATGCATGTGGTTTTTATTATTTTATTTTTTTTAGCTGGAAATCACTAAGGAACTGACATGCATGCTCTCGATGTAAACTTTCCAGAATTCAATGAAGAAACCTGGCTCTTGTAGGCCATTTTCCGGCCAAATGCGACCATGGACGAGAACCCCAGCGGTATATTTCATTAATCACGTTAGGTGTAGAAATTACAATATTAGAATATGCTTGTTTGGTGAGAAATTTTAGAAAAGAATAATGTTGATGTACTGTTTTTACAACAAGGACGAAATTGTAAAAATTGTTGAAGTTTTAGGGCTGTTTGGTAATTCTAGGAAGTTAGGGGCATTTTTGCAATTACCTCTAGGTTTAGGGGCAATTTTGTTAAATGAAAAATTGGGCAGATTATAGTTTATCTGTCCATTTTGTATATTATTTATGTTTAAGTATTTTGTTAAGTCAATGTGACTTGGTATAGGTACAAGCTTATTCGGTTTGACGAATGACAAGGCTTATCAAGAGCAAGTAAGCTATGGTTATGTGAGTGGGTCTTTTGTTTTTATGTGTGTGTGTGTGTGTGTGTGTATATGTAATTTTCCCAACAACTTTATATATTATGATATGGCATGCCATGTTTAGCTTTATAAATAGACTTTTCGTACACTTTATGTTTTAAATATTATTTGTGAGCATAAACTGTGGCATGGCATCCTTGCATTTTACCTGCTCATTATTACATGTTTGCACGATGTCTCTTAGTTATTTGTACTGTCCTAGGCCAAGGACTAGTTTCACGTGTAGTTCACATGCATCGTTTACATTCGCTTTGGATCCAGAGTAAGGTGACAGCCTGTCCTTTTGTATGATGTGTTGGACTTGTATGTGATGCGACTAGCGCAGCTCAGGTGATGTAGTATTAGAATGTAAAACCTACAACCAGTCTGTTCCATTATTTGAATACCTCTGCAATGGACTTGTGTGCCTACATAAATTAATGAGCATCGATTTCTTATATTATTAAATTGAGATTTGATGTTAAGATATCTTCTTGTTATGCCTACATCCAATAGCTTACTTGTGATGCAGGGTACTTATTACATACTATTATTATAATATTTTTAGGAAACCATATACTTGTTTTACAATGAGGGGTTACACTTTTCGAAATGGTTTTACAAAACTTTATTTTCAGGCCCACTCGTCCTTATATCTTGTCCCTCCAAGATTTTAGTGGTAAAGGTTTCGTGACGACGAGGATTGTTGGTAAAGTTGTTACGTAGGAGACTTCTCCTTTAACTATAAATATCCTTACTCTTCTTTTACTGCAATTTATCTATGCTCTGACATCACTTGTGTGATATGGGTTCAATCCCGCTCACATGCGCACTCTAAATTAGTCACTTTTAGGTTTTAATTTAGGGAATTGTTATTAGCACTCCAAAAATCTCATTCTACACTCCAAACTTTCTGTATTAGGAAAAAAAAATACATTTGTGACAAGTGTAGAATGAGATTTTTGGAGTGCCAATAACACTTCCCTTAATTTATTCACATTTTCCACATCACTACACTTTATGGTTTTGTCACCTTCGAGGTGTCGGACAGCACATCGCGATTTGGGTGTCTAGGTGGACATTCCAGGTTGAGGTGTGTCATTTATTTTGTACATATAACACTTAAGAAATTGAATGGTATGTATATTTATTAAGTAGCTTTAAATTTATTATAGTTCGGGTCAGGTTTTTGTTAGAAAAATATATTATTGTGGGTTTTATATAAAAAAATATTTTGAATTTGAAGGGAGCAAAGTTACATTTTCAGTCAAGTTTATAATAATTTAAAAAAAAATACCTTGAGTGACTCCACAATGTGGTCATTGTGCAAAAATACTTTGCGCGACGTCAAAATGTATACCTGCATCGCGCCAGTTGTGATAATTTTGACGATGCAATTGTAAAAAATAGGCGTCTTTTTTTTTTTTTTTTCACTGCTGGATACCATACCCAAACTCTCTCTTACTCGATCTCTCTCTTCCCTCTCGCTCATATCGCCCTCTCTCTCCCTCTCTCTCTCGGTCTCTCTCTTCCCAAGTTTGGACAAAATTTTCTTTTCCCATAGCCTTCCTCCTCATCCTCACCCGACTGCACCCTACCAGCAGCTATAGACCCAGGTCAGAATCAAGCTTAATTCTTTATTTTTCTTCTTTCTGAGGTCATAATCAAGCTTTAATGCCTTAATTTGAAGATTTTGGTATTGTAATTAGATTCAATTTGGAAAATTAAATTAGAAATTGGGGGTCTTAGTGTTAAATCAAATTTTAGGGTTAGGAATTTTAGGGTTTTAGTGTTAAATCGAATATTAAGATGTTGATGGTGTTGTGCATTGTGAGTGTGAATGAAAAACGAAGTAAACTTTGATCATGAATCTCTGGATATCGTCTCTGCGTATAGTTTTTTCCCCCACCTGTTTAGGGTGGTGGGTTGGTATGCTTTCTATCTACTGTTTCAGGTAAGGGTATTTTGCTTCTGAATACAATTGAAATCTTCAGTAAATACTTTATTCAGTAAGGCATTTCTTCAACCTGAATCCTTCAGTAAAAACTTTATTAACATTGAGGTTCAAACGTTCTGTAATCACTCAGGGGATCAAAAAATTGGTAAATCTCCACCATCATGAGGGATTAAAGGAACATTTGGATTTGGCAGTTCTCCGATATCCAACTCCAAATGCTTGAGATTTTTGGTGTAGGAAATAAAACAGCTAGCTGATGCACTCTCACGGTTTCAAGAAATCAACAAATGAATGTATACAAACACACCAAAACATAAATAGCTAATAAAGTAGCTTAAAACATAAATAGCTAATAAAGTAGCTTAAAACTTAACATTGTCTTCTGATCCGTGTTCAATAGGCATCCATGGACCGGAGAACGGGGCAATTAAGTTTACTCTTCAACCATGCTCCTAATGCCATAGTTATGTTCTAAGAATTAAGGTCTAAAAATCAAGCAGGAAGAAAAAGGTAGTGTTTTCTGAAATCAATTATCAGTATGGTTCATTTTTGGAGAAGTTATGAACGCAATTCTGCTAACAGAGCATGAAAATCATTCTGTAATGCATGTATATATTGACAATTATCTCCAACAGGCTATCAGTATCACATGGTTAAAAGCAGTACAGCGCACTGAACAACGATACTACCTCAAAATTAGTTCAGTAGTGGTCATGGCCTCGCTTTTGCTGGTGGTGGACTGAAACTCGGGACACAAGATCAAACTTTTTCCCTTTCTGTAAGTGAAGGCAGTAGATCCTGATTACTCCTTTTGTAAACTGATTTCCGTTTCTCTTAACTACACAAGTTAGACTACACTCCAATTCTCACTGTTAAGGTGGCATAGCACACAAGCTCTGGATTGAACAACCCGAAAACTTCCCAACTTGTCTCACCACAAAGCCGTACCCGAAATCCATGGTATCCTCATATTTTAAAAAGTTGAAACTCTATAAGTGATGTTAATGTCATCTTCATTAGTGCAAAGCCATGAATTGATTTGTATACGATTTTCAAGCATAAAGTGTTCGTTTATGAATAGCTCTTAATCCTTTTCAGTTTTGCTTCCCCTTTATGTTGAATGTGTTAGAATACAATTGATTAGCAGTCTGATGTCACAGTGTTCCTTCGTGTCATTTACCACCATCCTAGTTTAGATTCATGGCTCTGCTGCTGCAGTAAAGTACTGTTCTGTTGACACAAAATGTTTATATAACAGTGGATGGTATTGGTAATATGGGCTTTTTTCATATAAGTATATTTTCTCTTGAATCACCTGACAATTGAGAAGTATATTTTATGAATTTTTTAGTTATCATCAATAGATTAACTTCTTCCCTAGAATAATTTTGTATCTCATTGATTAGACAGACTGTATAGGAACTAACATAGTTGGTTCCTGGTGAACTATGCAAGCTATCTTTTGCTGATTATTGGAACTTGAACATGCATTTCTCAAGGTGTTTAGATCTCGACTTAACATTATGGGATTTAAATCCCCTAACAGCATCAGTTGCTTCTCTTACCTTTCTACCTGTTTACTAGTTAGTCTTTATGGTCATGTGTCTGGTTGTATGGCTTGTACAAAGTAAATTGTTTTTGTACGGTACTTTGATCATATCAATTAGTCTAATGAAGTTTTGGTACCATTGATTGATTACAATGTCTACTTACTAGAGTGTTTACTGGGCATCCGGAAACATGTTTTAGTTGTTATAAATAGTGATTCAGATAATCTTTAAAATTTACCACAGATTCTCAGTATCAGATTACCCATTCTTTTTTATTTCACTTGATGCACTTTTTTTGTTGGTCATGAAAATGGATAGGTAGTTCCTCTTGTTTTCAAATTAAGAATGTTGGTAACCTACTTACTTATATTACTTTGGCTGCTAATTTATTAGTTTCAAATGCAAGAAAGGATTAGTTTCTAATATTATATTTTTATGGTTGATGTGATATAAACTAACACACAAATTAAACCCTCTTTTTGATAGTTGTATTATGTGCAAGTAGGGATCGTTTTAGGTCGGGGATTAGGAGGGATGCTAATCTACACTAATTAGACTCTAAATTAGACTAGACTAGACTCAAACAACTCAAAACAAGCTAAATTGACTCAAATAACACAAAACTAAGTTAAATTGACTCAAAACAAGAACTAGAGAGAAGTTTAGACGAAAATTATTCTAAAAAGACTCAGAATACTAAATGGGGGTTGTTTTCACGAATTTTAACTAAAACTAAGTAGTTGCAGAAACAAACTAAAGATTGCACGAAATTGGGTGAATTAAAGGGTGAAAGGCTAGCTACAGGGTCCTTCTCCACACATGACACATATCCATACAAATTGATTTCCAGTTATTATTCCTATAAACCATGAATGACAACGCCCCAAATTAATTGTGAATTGCACAAATTAACCATCACATTTTCCTAATTTCATTGAATTAGACTCAGCGACGCAATCAAATTATCCTTATCAAGTTCCCTATATGAACTGCATGATAAAGATACATATCAAAGATCATTAAGTTCTATGAAAATTATAAGCATTGACAATGCATTCGTAACTATGAACTGCATAATACTCCTGTCATGGATTCATTTAACACAATCATAACTAGTGATTTCCATTACTTATAAATATAAGTTCATAACTACTAGGTGAAATTCCCTTATATTTTAGCATCAGATTCATGCATGCAAACTAAGTATGCATCCTTAATCAACATACAAGAATAAGTTATCAATCAAACAGATAAGTAAATCGCACTCATGTTTTACAAAACAATAACTAGAGGAAATCAATTCATATCACATATATGTTCATGGCTTTGAATTCACCTCTAACTAAAACGAAATTAGTTCCGTTCCACATGTTTGCAATTAAACAAAACCAATCTAATTTAAACATTGAACTAAATTTAAGGATAGAAAGAACCCAGAAACGCTCCAGCACTCCAATGGCAAATTCCACAATCCTTGAATAGCAGATCACGGCACAAAGCTTCTTCTCTCCTTTCTTTCTTGCTGCGGCACAAAGTATGTATTTATGATTTTCTCTCTAAAGCTCTCTGGTGGTTTTGTGCGGCATAAAACATGTATGTATAGGGCTAGGGTTCACGCACCAATCCTTGGATGACAAGGATAGGGCACGGCGCAAGTCTAGAAGGAAAATGACTAGGGTTAGGTGCGGCAGAGATTTAGGACTTCTAGAAAAAGGTATTGTGACAAGTTTATAGAAGGACAAAGCATAAGATATGCGGCAATAATCTAGGGCAGATGATAAGCTTTCTAGAACCAGATATTTAGGTGATTTAATGTGAAATTGACTCCCCTTTGCAACTGGAATTAAGGTAGGAAAAGATTAGGATAAGATAAGATTAGATAAGGTTGGATAAGGTTTGGATAATGTTCCTTCCTTTTAGCTGATTCCTTATCTTCAACGTCTTGAATTAATTCTTCCAGATGTTAAGCACATTCCTAGCCTCTTTTGATCTTCACAAACGTCCATCCACCTTACTCCATGCATATATTATCCATTCCAAGCCCAAAACTGCTCTAAAATGCTCCAAATTGCCTTTCTTGCCAACTTTGCCATTTGGACCTACAAACACGCGAAAATAGCTTAAATCGCTATAATAAATAGAAACTAACTCACTAAATGCAAAGAAATAAGCTAACAAAGTCGCATAAATATGTTCCTTTCAATGGTTCAAAAAGTGTATAAATGTTGCAGATGATCACTCGTCGTCGGAGTGTGACATGCGCCTATCACATTATCAGCATCTACCGTTCCAAGAATGAGTGCTCCATTGACTGGGGAGCCTACACCCTTTACTGAGGCTACTCCTACGACATCCTAGGTGGCTGCATCATTGACGTCATTAGTATTGGTTCAGCCACTCAGTGCACAGCGGTCTCACCGGCACCACGGCGATCCGGAGCCTTCTGATCATCGACAGCATTAGTTTCTAAAATTTTCTTAATGTTTTTTTTTTCTTCAGGAAGGCTCTAAGTTCGCAGAGATTTGCATGTTCAATGACGTTTACGTTCGACCCGGTAATGAGACCATTGAGCACCTTCATGTAAGTATATGTAATTGTTATTATTCTTATATTTATGAATCGTTCAAATATTAATTATATTTTGTTATTAAATATTATATGTTATTTCTTTATTATTACAGGCTGCTATGGTGGAAAAGCGCACCGTTGTTCTCTAAGAAGAAGCATTGTAACTTCCCTCGGAGACCTTGATCAAGGACGTCACTGTACCCGAGGATACAGGTCTTTAGATCCTGACTGAGGTCTTGGATCAGAAGCTCAGTCATCGTCATGGCAAGTTTGTTCGATGTATGGGGAAGGCGCAGGTTCGTGAGACAGGTGCCTCCTCTTCCAGATCAACCATAGGGCAAGTCAACGCCCTGAAGGAGGAAATGGCAACCCTAAAAGGTTAGCTTGTAGCCCAGGGCAAGTAGATGAGTATGATTGTATATGCCTTACAGATGTCCGATCTCCAAATCTCGATGTCAGCACCTGATCTTGCTCCACCTTCGACCTCCTAGCCACTTCGCCCAGCCAATACCCAGTAGCCTGATGTATCAAACCTAGATGACTACTTGTAGTTTTTTCTTTTATGTTCGGACATCTTGTATGTACATTTTCATATATTTTATAATTAAATATTTTTTCTTGGTTTATTAATTATTGTTTATAATTTAATTACAATATTTATAATAAAAAAATTAAATAAAAAATATTTTTGCTAAAAAAAAAAAAACAAGGGTTTGAGCAACGAAGAGAGCACCTGCGTCATGCAAAGTGTCTTTGTACGACCCAAGTTCTTCCATCGTGCAAAGACACTTTGCGCAACGCAAATGCTGTCATCGCGCAAAGACCTTTTACACAACTGAAGAACCTGCGTCGCGCAAACCCTACTTTCACCGCCCTTGAGCGACGGTTGGCACATGATGAAGGTTTTGTTGGGCTAATTTTCAGGCAACGTTTTTTGACTTTGCATGACGAAGGTACATGCGTCGCGCAAACTATTTTTTGTACTAGTAGGGTGATGTGGAGCGTGTGTTGCTATTTGCTTCACACGTTGGACAACTTGGGTTGATACCAAGAAGGACATTGAGGTTCCACCATAAAACCAATTGGTATTGTGAAGAATAGCTCAACTTACTTGTAAGCTCATCCAAGGTCTATCCTCCCATCAATGCGGAACTTATTCTCATCAAAGCCTTTCTATCTTGGCCTGGCTCAGTCACCTTATGCAACTGGCACTTCAGAAGGTGAAACTCTCCACCTAAGGGGCCTTTCGTCTTTTGATTAGAGTAGGGGTTGCGAGAGAGCAGGGCAATACAATTACCAATAATGGGTGTGTCGCTATTGCTGGCACGACAGGGGGTTTGTCAACAATTTTGGAAATATTTTTGCTCAACATCGTGATGGTGATGTTTACTATCCTATTCATTACCGTTAGATAAGTTTAAATCTCAAGATTCGTATAATGCATAGATATAAATCTCAAAATTTAAATTCATCTAATAGTAAACAGTAGGATGGTGAGCATTACCCAAGGTTCTAAAAAACGCTAGGCGCTAGTATGGCGCCTAGGCGGATTTAGGTAAATTTCTTGTATATCTTATAAATAAGTGCATATTGAGACTTACGAAAATTTAAACTTGTATGAAATTCATGGATAAGATAATAAAAGAATAATAAAATGCAAAAAGAGTATCCAACAAGTCCAAAATTTAAAAACACATTAAGCATATATGCCATAGAACCATAATGAAGAGTATTGTAGGATGATACATGTACAATAAGTTCACAGAAGGAAATATAGTAATGTATATAGGATTTTTTTTTTTTAATTTCACAGAAGAAAAAAAAAAAAAAAAAAAAACTCCTAGCCGCCTAGAGCCCAACCGATTTTTCCAACCAATTTGCAAGAAAACGCCTCGGGTCATCATTGCCCATCGCCTAAGCCGTTTTTTAGAACATTGGCATTACCATCATTTAAGAGTCAACCAAAAATGCAACCCAATTTTTTGTCGATCCCATGGAATAAAATGATAATTCTTGTTCAATTCATTAAAATTTTGAAAATAAAAGGATGAAAGAAATATCAAAGCTTACTCAACCGCTCATCACCCACGGTCCCAATTGGTTGAAATTTTTTTTTATTGTGCTCGGATCACAATTGTTACTCAACGGGTCATTATATAAGTAGAGGAAAATTTTATTTTTCAAGTTGTTAATTTTTTTAACATAAGTATCTCACTACTTGTATAGTGACACGTGATATGTCATCCAGTATTTTGGACACACTGAAAAATCTTTCGAATCAGTGGAGCCTAGATCTCTTGTTGTTGGATGCTTCGTTTGTGGGCATCTTCTCTTTCTTTTTTTTTTCCCTCAAGACTATAATGAGTTCTAGGCAGAGTTCGAGAAAATTAAAGAAATTAATTCTAGTCACCATTTTCCTTTTCCGTGTAAAATTGAGTGGGTATAGGGATGGGCAACGGTTATGACAGGCGGGTAACCGCGGTTATTTACGCATAACCGTTTATGCTCATACCCGCATAACCGTTTACCCGTTGGGTAATTGCCTAAACGGTTGTACCCGTACCCATAACCGTTTATAAACAGTTAACCATACCCATAACTGCATACCCATTTAACCGTAACCGTTTAATACCTGTTTACCCATTTACCCTTTTTAACCTATTTATCTTCTTTTTTTTTTTACCATTACCCCTTTTTCACCCGTCTACATGTTTTTTAACAACTTGAAAATTAAAAAAAAAAATTATCATAATTTTCTTTTTTTTGACAATTAAACACCGTTATATAATTTTCTTTTTTTTTTGACAATTAAACACCGTTATAGGTACATTCATCATACATTTCCGTATTTTAATTTTTTAAATCCTTATACCATTCCAATAATTGAAATAATAGTTTACGGACGATATTTTTAACTGTTACCAATGAAGGTAAATATAATATTTTCTAAGTATTATTGGGTTACAAAAATTGTTTAGAAGACATTTATATCAAAGCATTTCTGTCAATTTCACGGTTACCCACAAAGAATTTAAATTAATTTGGCAAATTCCTTGATGATGAGAATCATTATTTCTCTAGCAGTGTTATTGAGAGAATGACCGATGAATTTCTTGCTAATTTATTGGGTGCTAAGTATTATTGGATCGAGAACATGGTTTGTGTTAATTTTATATATATATATAATAAATGGGTAAACGGTTACCCATTTATAACTGCGAATAATACCCATAACCGTCCATTTAAATTTCGCTGGTGTTTATACCCATAACCGTTTATTTATCTAAACGGTTACCCATAACCGTAACCGTTTACTTTAAATGGGCAGATAACCGCGGTTACCCATAACCAATAGGTATTTGTCCATCCCTAAGTGGGTCCTTTCTCCCCTTGTGCCAGATGGTACTCTATTGATGTATATTTAAAAATAATGCAATAGTTACCATTCTTATTTTTCGTTAAACGGTTAGTGACGGACGAAATCAATAATAGTGACAATCTCTCTCAAATGCTAAAAACCTTCTCCCTTGCTTGATACTTTCTCACAACTGAATAATTGTGACAATTCTTCGTGACTGTTGCTCACATTTCTTGTAGTGAAATATCCTCATGTTACACATGTTCAACCCATTTCATAGAACAAAATAAGTAAGAATACATATAATTAGGTTTTATTTGGTTTACACTCTAGAAGCAATCATTTGTTTTAACTGGTCGTTAGGCTTTGAAACCCAAACCTTTCAGGGGAATAAGATGGGAGATTTGAACCACCACGGGATGGCATATGGTTAGAGATGAATTCCATGCCATATTTTGTACAGCACATTCTAAGTTCGATTCCTGGCGTTGGTAAATCATACAATGGTAGTCAGAGAGATACTGAAATGCCTCTGTGAGTCTTTCCGGCCTCCAAAATGGTAGACTGAAATAGTGAAGCCACCAACTAATCATTTTTTAAAGAAAAGGGAAAATAGATGGGAGACTTGGGCTTACCATTGAGTTAGTTTTGTACTCCACAATCATGGTAGTCTTGAGTAATCAGATTTAAAATTAGGGCCTTATCCATTGATCTCACTTCAAGTCAAGGCTTCTCATAAACATAAAAACAAACATGTTACCCTAATAACTATATGGACTATGTAGTTTTGTATTTTCTTGTTCCATAAAACCTTCTAAGCACTGCACTGTCACGGGTGTAGTGCACTTGTAAAATATGGTTACAGCCTGGTGAATAATACAGCACGCCAAAGCAAAAAATTGATAAAAATCAAGGAACCCAGATGGGAAACCAAAAAGGCTTGAAAACAAATTGATGTGAGGCTAACAAACTGAAACTGCTGCAAATTTTGAGGTCAATGCAGTTTATCCTTTTGTTTCGTATTCCATTCCGTTCGTGCTCGTACTATCTCTGCCTTATCTGCCTGCATCCGGAGAAGGTGTGTGTATTCTAGGTCTGGTCTCCGATTGATGGAGTTGTTCTTGCAGTTGGAGTCATCAGCCAAACTTGATGTTGTACTTGTTAGAGACTCTAGCAAATTTGATTGTCTACATTCACGTCTATACTCCAGTGTCATGCTTGTGAGATCATAATCTCCCAATACATTGATGGGCACACTCTGCTCATTAAAAAACCCCAATTAATTAAGTCAGTAGCAGTGAAACAAAAAAAGCAAAAAAAAAAAGTTAGTAGCAGTCTTTATGTACCGATATAGCTAAGCTAGCCACATAAAGGTTCAAAATGTTCTCTTGCTGGACTTTCTTGCGAGATTTGATGTGCATCTAAATCATTTTTCAAGTGGATTCTCATTTGAATATGTGGCTCAGAATAACAATCAACATAAAAATTGGTATGGCTCTGGCTAAGCAAGTTTTGGTACTTTCTAGATATGAACATAAGGTTTAGTGAAGTACCTCCAAAATCCATCCAATGTATTTCACATTATTAACATGTTGGTTGGCATCCATGTCACTCCATCTTGGCTGGAATAATTGTAGGCAAAGAAGTAGTTAATATGAAGAAACTATTACACTAACCAAATTGTATGAAATGAAAAGTAAATTCAAAAGTTTGATGACCTAATATTTCAACACTTACTGCTAAACCTGATGTGATCCTCTCTGCAGTATCATCGGTGAGCTTGTCGATTTTCTCGCTGTCATTTTTCTCTTTAGCAATTGCAAATCTGTTTAGGTAGAATGGTAACACCTCTTGCCTCACTTGGTCAGGTATCTTGGACAGCCTTCTTGTCTCTCTGTTCATGATCACCCAAGTGCTGCATGAAGTTAATGTAGGAGATCAGATAATTATAAGATAAACTTGGAATTAAACATTAATATCATTGGTTAAATTATGCAGTAAGCAGAAGATTGCAAACCTTGTAGCTCTGGTAATAATTTCTTGAGTCTGGTAGTCTCGGATAATCCAATCTCTTCGCATTCCGTTTTTGCCCGCTGCATCCACCCAAGTATCGATTTCGACCACATCTCCCCTGTCACGTACCAATTTTTGCACATCACCCTTTGTGAAATGTTTGAACTTGTACACATACCATGCAGTTCAGTTATGCCTAAAGTTATATGTCATATATCGATAACACATGCGTACGAGTAATGCTGGAGAGACCATATTTTTTGAATCATTTGTATCATTATTCATCACATACCATGAGTTGTATCTCTGTACTTGAATGTGGATCCGTGTGACAACCCAGATGAGCTTCCGGATGCTCATCTCACGGGTAGCCCCAAATCCATTTCCGGCAAGGCCGGAACTTGTCACATGATTTAGAGCTGTCTCCTGCACCCATAAACCATATAAAGGTTACTAAGTTCAATGAAAGTGTACATCCTAGTAATTCATGATTAGAATCTCTTATTTGAATAATAAGTAAACACTTTTTTCCTTGAAGCAAAACTGAAAAAATTGGACCTGGAGGAGGTTCATTAGGGTTTCCATGGTGGCAGTTTTGTCAGGTCCAATCTCATAAGACCTAATAACAAAGGTCTGCCTATAAACAAACCTGTCCTCCACAAACTTTCCATGCAAAGAGGAATGCGGAAGTGAATCGCCATCATCATTAATCAACTCTATACTATTCTTGTTTCCAAATAATGTAGCCTCTCCCACATGAACACCGTTGATCTTCCCATTGATTGTCTCCACACTTCTAGGAGTTCTGCCGGCACTGGCCCTCACTGAAAAGTTTCCATTTTTTCTCGTGATCATTGCTACACGCCTGGAAGGATAAAACCCTAATTTGGTAGCCGTCTCATTCTTCCCCGCCATCAACACGTCCCCCGGAAGGCCTAGCGTGGCGATACTATTAGTTCTTGCTGCCATTGATGCCACAATAATCTCTAAGCGCTCATTTGTTTTTTCAGATATTTTGGAATCAAATAAAGCCAACGAAGTTTAAGTTTGATAAAAGAGGGTGGTGAAGCTTTTAGCACTTCTTGTCAAAGATTAGTATTAGGTGTAACCACTTATTGGAAGGAATAGGAGATCTAGTTATACAATTTAGGAAAAAAGATTGATGGGAAAAAAGGGAAGATTTTCCTGAAATGGAGGAGGATTACGGTATTTTTAGCTCAACCACTTCAATGGGTGGGGGAGAAATGGGGTAGTTTGCACCAATGGCTTCCACGCTAATGTTTTGAGTGGTGTTTTTGTGCGTATTTACAAGGGAGTTTCAAATAATAGATTATTTGGACAATAGTAATTTTGGATTAATAAGTAACTCTACCACTAATTATGTTGTTTAATTTGGTCTTGCTATTATGATATGCTAGAAAAAGGTATGCCTCTATATAATAAGGCTTTAAAAGGATGGTGTTGGTAATCTGCCTCTAACTATAGTCATGAAGAGTATTTGAGTTTGATAGGGGATTTTATCAGTGCTTTTTTTTTTTTTTTTTTAAGAAACAGAAATGCTAAGGAGGATATCTTAAAATAGGCATCTCCATGGATCATCTGTCACCTTATGTTTTTTGTTCAATATTTTATAATGTTAGCAAAAAAATTACGCCAAAAATATAAGGTGACGTAGTTCTACTTTTGAAAAAATCTCCTTACCATTTTCCATTGAAAAAAAGGTTTGGTTGAGCTTGTTGATTGTTTGACCGCCATAAAGGGGTAGATGAAGTATTTGTGTTCCCCATTTCTGAGTTTGTGGAAACCAAGTCCAAAATATCTCGAAGGAGTAGGAATCATTTCACATAGAAATACTTTGTTGTTCTTCAAGCAGCTCCTAAATATTTGGTTTGATCTTTTATTGAATTTTCATTAACAATTAAGGTTGAAAATTTTCAAATATAAGAGAGCTCTAAGAGCAGTCCATCCATGACTCAAAAGGCAGGCAAGGGCTTTGGAATTGCCCTTTAGCTCAAAAATCCCCGTCCAACAGTCCATTTTGTAAAGGACAACTAGTGAGCTCTAATGTGACCATCAGATTGCGCAGCCATTTCATGCCAAGCCTTGAGTCTGTTCGCTATGGGCGACGTCAACACTGACATCACTGAGAAGACAGATGCACTTCCTTTAACAGCTCTTTTTGTCTCACACCTTAGCCGTTGGACTTTCAACGGTCTGACTATATGGACATTTGGGTTTTCAATGGTAAAAAAAATTGAAAATTTGAAGGTTCTGCCACGTAGCACAATATGGGATGTCTGATTTCCAAAGAGAAAGGAAATCAACGGCTCGGATTAATCCGATGGTACACCAGCGGTAGAAACCTTTCCTCGTGGGGTGCTCTTGGCCCAGTGAATATCGCTTATTCTGGTGTTTATCAGTAATGTTATACAATTGGTTTACGTACTAATGAGGATCTTTATACTGGAGCTCTTTTTCTATTATTTCTTTTTGCTATATCCTTAACAGCGGGTTGGTTACACCTACAACCGAAATGGAAACCGAGCATTTCGAGGTTTAAAAATGCTGAAATGAAACCGAGTGTTTCGTGGATTAGTACAATTATTATATTATTAGCATCAAATTCAGGTTTTCATGGGATACCGGACTGTACTTGGTCTAGCTTTTTCAATTACTCCCAATCTTTGAAATATGAAATAGAGTAGAGTATTATATGTTTCCCGGGAGTACATACATAAATGGAATTTCCAAATAAATACCTAACCATCTTCTTCATACTCCACACCATAACTCAATATTTATTTTATCACAATCTCCTTATTTGTTTTTCACCTTCAAAATCCATTTGTTACAAAAAAAAAAAGAAAAAAAAAAAGAGTAAGAAGACAAATTGGTCAATCAGGGAAGACGTTACTTTGCTTGAGGCTTGGGTGCATGTTACTAATGGGCCAGTCACGAGTAATGAGATGATGATAGAGCAAATGTGGGAAGAAGATGCATGCACAAACTGTCGAGCAAATTCAAAGCATATTTCAAACCAATCTATCTATGCCGAGTAGGTAAAAAAATGCACACAAAGATTTGAAATCTTGGCAAGAAGCCTTCACAAAAGCAAAAGCAATTTATCGAAGTGGCAATAATCTAGCCAATGAAGTAATAGCATTTTATTATTAATAAATTTCAAATGTAATTAACATTTATTTATGTAATTTATTATGTTGTTTCACAATTTTTTTTTTCAGCAACTAAAAGCACAAATGTAGTTCAGCTTTATAACAACAACATATCATTCACAAAGCACAAGTGGTGGACCGTTGTGTAGCATACTCCGTAATATAAAATTGTGCCATATGTTGGATGCCCTAGCGTTGTGCATTGGATGCTCTATGTTGCATCGTTTTAAAAGACGTTAGGCGCTACTCGGGCGACGAGCAGGGGCCTAGCCTAGGTAGGGCCGGCCTTGAGAATTTGGGGGCCTTAGGCGAGTCTTCGAAGTGGGGCCCTAAAATTCTCTGATCTTCGGTTCTTTGTATATTGATTTGTATAACAAAGAATTCGCTAAATGCATAAAAAGTTCTATTTTCACATCAAATATCATTAGAAATTAAAATCAAAAGAAGATAAATATACAAATATTACTTAAACATTACACGATTCACGTTTTTACACACAAATATACTAAATGTTTGTAGTCAAGAGTCTAAGATTGAGAGTGAAGAACAATAAAACTTAATGATCAAGAGAGTAAATAACAATAAAACTTGATTGATGAGTATAATAAATTCAATGCCAATTGTTTCTCTTGTGTATTTTTTCTTCTTCTAAAATCAACATCACACTAACAAATTGAATATTAAAATAATCCATTAAATAAAAAGTTATTGAAAAGAAAAATAGAAATTAAAAATTTTAATTACCTTAAAGTACAATCTTTAAGACCTTATGGTAGTTGGTTTAAACATTCACTAGAAATGGAGAGAATGAGAAGTTAGTTTAAACATTCGATAGAAATGGAAAGAATGAGAAGTTGAAAGAAAAAAAAATTGCAATGAGACTTGAGTTTTATAACTTTATATGCATTTGGACAGATGAATTGACAGTAAATTTGAAAAACAAGAAAAATCTAGTGATTGAAAGGCACCTCCATGTTTCGAACTCAACCACCCCAAAGAAAAATGAAGCCAACATTTCCACTGCACTAACAAATGAATTATGATATTTCTTACTTTTTTATTTATTTATATGTTAATTACAAGATATAAAATATTTTTGGAGGTCCTTCTGAAGTGGGAGCCTTAGGCGGGCGCCTACTTGGGCTACCCTCAGGGCCGGCCCTGCACCTAGGTGCTTAAGCGGGACCTAGGCAGGAATTTAGACAAACTAAACAAATTTAAGTAAATAAGTGTATATTTACACTTAAAAAATATACTTTGTGTTTAAAAAAATATATACTTATATTCTAACATTAGCACAACAATAACCATTCTTTATCATGAATGTGAACCACAAAACCGGTTGGGCGTAACAACATACAGATACAGGCCCATGTCTTTCACAAAACTCGTAGTGTGAAACATAATGAAGCAAAGTTATGCCAAAATCAAAAGAGGCTCAAATAAAAAGAAAAAGTAATAATTAATTTATAGTCATTTATGGGTATCATTAATATTTACGGGAACCCTTTTATTATTATAAAGATTAATTTTTTTAGCTTTCTATATTGATGGCTGATTCTAAACCCAAAGCATTCTTTTTTTCCCTTTCTCTTCGTCTTCCCAATCTTTTTGCAGGTGAATCATAGTTTCTCTTCGTTTTTTCTTTTTTTCTTTTTTTATTCAGTTTCCAAAATTTAAGGTCTAATTCTAGGCGTGAATTACGAGTCATCGTTTGATGTTGGGTGTGTGGGTACGGGTTGTGAAGGATGGGTTATATGGGTGGCGGGCAGCGGATCGTGTGGCCTTGACGGCCGCATGCCTCATTGCCTTCTTCTAGGTGGTGATGGTTTGACTCCTGAGCCACCTAGGCTCCGACAAGATCGCCTACACTGCCCAACGGCAATCTAAGACCATCTTCAACCGTAGGCTGGTCAGATGACTAAAACTAGTCTTATTTTAGCCCTCTAATCCTTTAAGATATTAATATTTTAATGAACAGTACATAACCATATTTACTTCTATCTTTAATCGATGGTCAAAAGGTCAAACATAATTTATTATTTAAATTTAAAAACTACAACAACTTGAATTTAAAAAACTACAACTTATGTTTTCAAGCTACAACTTATGTTTAAAAACCACAACTTAAATTTAAAACTACAAATTAAATTTAAAAACTACAACTTGGTTAATGTTATTTAATGTTGTTTCATATTGTTTAATGTTGTTTCATGTTACTTAATTTAATTTAATGTTGTATATTAACTTAGGAAGTTATAGGAAAAAAATATAAATTTTTTAAAAAATATGAAACAAGGAAGTTATAGGAAAAAAAAAATAGAAGTTACAGGAAAAAAAAATAAAAAACATAAAACTGTAAAAAAAAAATATTCCAAAAATAACGGCTAGCTGATGTAAGCTAGCCTTTGTTTTTAAATTTTTGACTTAGCATTCCTATCGGATATAACTGACACCAATATAATATATTCATGTCGGTTATATCCGATAGGAATGCTCAAATTTCTAGCCCAACTCGGGGTTGGCTTGATTGGGCCAACCGATTGGCCCTTTGACTCTTTCAGATTTCGTGGGGCCCACGAGCCCTCTGGTCTAACCCTCGGTTGGATACGGTTTTCGAGCGTTTTTCGGCCCTCGGACCCTTTGGACCCTTCGGTTGGAGATGGCCTAACATCTGCCTTAGCTCTGCCTAATTGTTTGCTGATTTTCTCTCCGATTTTGGCCTACTCGAAAAGGCTAACCATCGCCTAGCACCTAGACGCCACCTAGGCAGCCGCATAAAGCACAAAACATTGCTAGGTTGTAGTCTACTGAGAATTATATTGTTTTAATATTGTACAAGGTTGTAATGCTATGCTTTACTTTGCATTTGAAAGTAAAT